AACTGAGCGTGGCCGCTGAGGCCCGCCCACCTCCCCTACGTCTTCGACGCCATGATGTCTTCCCGGAGGAGCGCTCGCTCCGCCCCTCTGCGGCTCCTGGAGGGAGTGGCTTCGTATAAGCTCCACCCCCTCCCTCAGCTCCGCCCCCAGGACTCTAAAGGTTTCAGCCCTCCAGGAGCACGCGCTGCCCGGGGCGGTCTTTACAAACCGCTTGGAGACCTAGACCCCTGGCCTACCGTTACAGTGGCAGAGGCCCTACCAAATGAAGTCACGTAGCCAGTCAACAAGCGTTGATTAAGCCATTCTTCCCTCCGGAACCCCTGCCCACAAGAGCCCCATGTTCTAACTGGAGGACAATGCGGCCCTAATTTGGTACTTAGAAGCTTCATACAGAGTTACTGAAAGGCAGCCTTAGAGGAGAAGGCATTTCAGCAGCTGGAGAGAGCTGACAGGGCCTCCCTCTGGACTCTCACTGGGTGCTGAAAAGAAAGGGGAGAGGGAAGGACTAGATGACCCCTAAGATCCCACCTGTGAACCTGTGTGACCTTGGGGGAGTCACTGCCTCTCTCTGGACTTCACCTTTATCCCTGCCCCCCATAAAAATGAAGGGGTTGGACTAGACCGTCACTGGGGTCCCTTCCAACTCTAAACCATGATCCTACAATCCTTCTGCCACTTGCCCAACAAGTGATTGGTAGTCTCTGCTTCTCTACATCTGGATAGGAAGGGATCTCTTAAAGTCCCTGCCCCTGTAAGGATCTGTGATTCTGTAACGTGGGGCAAGAGAGAAGGAGAAAAGGGAAAGGGAGAGAAAACAGAGATAAAAGGAAGAAAGTCACATCTGGTGGGAGGAGCAAGGCACCACCAGTAATGACCTCAAGAGGCCAATAAAGGATGACCATGCCATTGACTGCCCACGTGTCTGTTGACATCTCTGGTCTCAATCTCATCACGTCGAATTGGAGGAAAGTCAGAGATTAGGGACCCCAATGATATTTTTAAGAAACTCAACTGAGTCATCTGTCACATGGCAGAACCAATGGACAACAACAAAGAAATGGATGGAAAAGGGTCGAGAGATACCTTTCAAAGGGAGCTCCCAGGGTCTCCGAGATTAGCTTTGTTCTGCTTGGCCCCAGAGGGTAAGAGCCAGAAGCAACAGAGGGAAGCCAGTAGAGGCAGATTTCATTTTGATGTCAGGAAAAACTTCCCAGTGTAAGAACATCCCAAAGTGCCTGCAGAGGCGATGATTTCCCCTTCTCAAGAAGAGGCTGACCTCCATCTGTCTTGTATATTGTAGGAGGATGGTGCATCCTTTGTCACTGTGGGTTGGCCTAGCTGGCGCCTTGGGTCTCTTCCAACTCAGAGCGTCTGGGATTCCGGGAAAAATTGCTTTGAGGTTATTAAATAGAACAGAGGTTTCTCTCTCTCTCTTCTCTCTCTCTCTCTCTCTCTCTCTCTCTCTCTCTCTCTCTCTCTCTCTCTCTCTCTGTCTTTCTCTCCTCTCTCCTTCTCTGTCTCTCTGTCTCTGTCTCCTCTCTTTCTGTCTCTCTGTGTCTCTATCTCTGTCTCTCTCTCTCTTTACAACTTCACACTCCTCCACAATTTACAACTGCTTATATCAGCCCCTGACCTTGGTGCTGACCAAACCTCCACGCAGAGGGAGGTCCTGCTGAGGGAGGAGGGAGAGAGGAGTCTGCAGCAGAGAAGGCCATTTGGAGACATTTCCTCCCCTCGGTCTCTGTTACTATTCTTATATTAGCATCTGCCAGGTGTTCATTGACAACCCCAGAATGCCCTTGCATATTGGTTTCCCAATTTCACAGGCGCTCAGATAACGAACGGAGCGACCTGGGCACCATTTCCAGTGTGGCCCAGAAGTAGGAATGGATCAGGGAAGGAGAAGCCCAGAGCTGGGGCAGGGGCTGGGGCTGCCGTGTGGACAGCTGGTAAGAGAGGCTTCCCCAGTCTGTTCCTTCTTCTCCATCACTAGTCCTGACAGCTTGGAGCTCCAACTCTGCCTGTCTCTGCATTGTGTGGAGGCTGCCTCTACTCTGCTCTGTCTGCTCTCTTACCCACTGTCAACAGACCACCTTGGCTAACATCTTATCATTTATTTTAGGTGGGAGGAGTATTTTCATCAGCTTACTCAGTTGGCCCCACCCTTAGCCCTACATTTCCACTCTCCCTCAGCCACACAGGGAGATGATCACACCCTGACCTCACTGTCACCCAAAACCGCTCGTTCTCCATTTGCTTTACATGCATTTTGTGTTAACAGATCTGTGCACATATTACTTCTCCAAAGCAGAATCTCAGTTCTTTGAGGCACTGGATCTGTTTATTTCTGTCAATGCCTAGAACATAATAGGTGCTGAATAAATGCCTGATCAGTGAAGGGCTGTAGTGTATGATCAAGACCTCTGGAATCCCTTTTATGACCACAACCACCCATCCCCTCTGCCTCCCCCCTCCTAAGCCTATTCTTCACAAAACTGTTCTTTCTATTGTTTGTCACACATGCCCTTCCATTCCCCATCTTGCTACATGCTGCCCCAATGTCTGGAATGTCCCCACCCCTCACTTTCACCTCTTAGACTAACTTCCTCCAAAGCTCTCCTTGAACACCTTCCTAATACATGAAGGTTTTACTGATTCCACCCCTTCACATACCACAGAGATGGTGATTGTTTCCTGTCAGTCACATCCAACTTTTTGTGACTCCATTTGGGTGATTTTTTGGGAAAGATTCTGGAGTGGTTTGCGGTTTTCTTCTCCAGCTCATTTTACAGATGAGGAAACTGAGACAAACAGGGGAAGTGACTTGTCCAAGGTCACACAGCTAGTAAGTGTCTGAGGCCAGATTTGAACTCAAGTCTTCCTGACTCTATCCACTATGCCACCTACTTGCCCCACACACAGAGAGCCTTCCCCCAAAATAGATACATGTTGTCTTTCCTGATTGAATGTAAGTTTCCTGAGGACAGGAGCTATTTCTTTTTTTGACTCTGTATTCCTAGTGCAAGCCCAAGGCTGGCATATGCTAAGTGTTTAGTAGATCCTTGTTGACTGAATGCTTGATTGATGGATCTCCAACCACTCTACCCTTCTCTGTTCTTGCAGTCCGTGACCTCCACTCAGGCCTCACTTTCCTCTCTTCACAGCTCTTACTGTCCAGTTAATCAGCGTCCTCCACATATCAGCCTTGACCCTGGGACCTCCCTTGCCCAACCCCTAGCGCAGGTTCACTCCTCCCCTCCAGATTTGCCATTCCGTCTTGCATAATGTTGAATGTAACTGGAGGGAGTCCTTAGGTCCCCTACAAATACATGTTGTATAATCTCCTCTAGGCCTTCCCTGCTTTACAGAAATACTTTTCTTTTGCCCTGATTGACCCTCGTGCTCCCCGCAGTGGTTACTCCAAATTTCCTCCTTTCCCCTCAAATCTTCCTTGCCCCCTTCACCCTCCTTCTTGGTAAAAGAACCTTGCCTCCTCTCTGACAAAGGTCAATCAATCACGACCATCTTGTGAGGTCATTTTTCTCCCCACCCCCACCCCTAAAATCCTCTACAGATTCTCCTTTATTGTTTGTCACCCTGAGGATGGGGAGACCTTTCACCTAGCCAAGGTCAATTCTTCTCCTCATGACCTCATTCCCACCTTCTCCTATTTCCTCTGAGAGCAGAGCTTCTTAAGCTCTGTGTCCCGGGTGCCTAGGGCAGTTTGGCGACCCTTTTCAGAAGAATGTTTTTCATTGTGTAAAATAATATACATAGGAAGTTTTAAAAATCTATTGAATTATATAAATCGAGTTATCAAAATATTAGTTGGATTGAAATAAATTTGAATTGAATTATCAAATTTTTTTTTAAAAAAACACAAATTCATGTATTCCCTGAAGTCTGTCCATGGACTTTTCTGTGCACCTCTGTCTTAGACTTCATCCCTTCAGTGAGAGGGTCCCTGAGGCTCCTTCTGCTAGAAACCTCTGATCCGATGATCTCTCTCATTCAGCTTCAATATCTCCTTAACTATCAGCTCATTTCTCGCTGTCTGAAAACATACCCATGTCCTATACAGCCTTAAATCCTCCTGTGACCTTGGAGGTTCCACGAGCTGTCATCCTCTCTCTTTCCTCCATATCACAGACGGATTTCTAGTAAAAGTTTCCAGTACGTGTGGAATCCTCTCCTAGGCTCCCCTCACTTCTCAGCCCCTCAGATTTGCCTTCCGCCCATGCCCCCACGACTCTCTCCAGGATTACCAGCGATCTCTAAGTTGTGAGAGACACGGGCTCCTTTCTTAGCCCCATCTTCCTTGACCCTCCTTCAGCTCTTGACCCTGATGGCTGCCCCCTCCTCCATAAGAGCATGCAGATTCCTGTCCTCCTCCTGCCCTTCTCTGCCTCTTTCTCAGGAGGACCTGTGAAGGACCTGGCAATCCGCTGACTGTGGTTCCACTGAGAGCCTCTGCCTAAGCCAAGACTCCCTTTCCTGAGCAACACTCCTTTTCCATCCAGCCACCCATCTATGCAAGTCATCTCTATCTGGTGTCCCTATCCCACTCTACCCTACCCTTCCTTATTCCCTCTAGAACCTTGTTCTGTTATAAACAAACTACCCTTAGATCACATTGGATTGCTACTCACGGCCTGGACTGTTATTTTGTATTTGATAATCCACCTGGTCAATGTAAACTCCCTGAAGGCAGGGACTACCTCAGTTTTGTCTTTGTGTAAAGTGGATGCTCTGCTCTTACTCTGTCAGGCCTGTTACATCTCATCTCCCTTCCCAAAGGGTCCTCTAGAACCCTGAGGAGTTTGGGAAGCCTAGCTATCTCCCTGGGCTCAAACCAATTGTTTTCTCCCAATTTTAGGGGCACGAGACTAGCACCCCAGTTTCATTTAGCCACTGTATATCAGATTAGCTTTTATGAATGGATATGCACAGAAGTAGGTAACAAGAACAAACACGCAAATGCTTCCCCAGTGCTTCCAAGTCATAATCCTCTTTCCCCCACCCCCATGCCAGCTCTCTGGGGAAGGGCTGGGGCACTGATCAGGGCTCACAATTTAGCTCAGTTCCTACATAGTCCCACCAAGTTCAAGTCCAAAGCCCAGCTGGGGTAGCATCCCCAGACTCATGCTCTTCAGGGAGTTGCTGTTGGGCCGACTGCAACACCCAGCCTGGATTCCTGGGCTCCCAGATGACTGTGGCTCAAGAGTCTGGGCCAGAACTGAGATTCCTCCACTCCTTGCCCCTGGAATAGAAGAGAAAGATCAAAAAGGCTGAACACCCAGGTCTGTTTCTCAGAGCCACTGGCCTGAGGTGAGAGGAAACAGTCTCTTTCCCTGGGCCATCATCCAGTTCATGCTCCATTATCATGGATGCCCCCCACACCAAGATCTGTGCTGGGCCCCTTTTTCTCCTCTCTCTAAAGGCTCTTTTTTGGGGGGGTGGCTAGACAATGGGGTTGACTTGCCCAGGGTCACACAGCTAGTAAGTGTTATGTGTCTGAAGCCAGATTTGAACTCAGGTCCTCCTGAATCCAGGGCCAGTGCTCTATCCACTTCACCACCTAGATGCCCCCTATAAAGTCTCTCTCTTGGAGATCTCAGCAGCTCCCACACTTTAGTTGTCACCATTGTCCAAATGGCAACAGGTAAAGCACAATAGGCTTGGAGTCTAGGGGCCAGGGTTCAAACCCCACATCTTTCACTTACTCCATGTGAGACCTTGGCCAAATACTCAACTTCTCTGGGTCTCAGATTCCTCATCTGTAAAATGACAACTGCCAGCTCTACACCTATGATCCCAAGACTCACAGATCTATATACTCAGCTCTCAGCTCTCCTGACCTCCAATCCTGCATCCACAACTGCCCATCAGATCTTTACATATGGATGTTCCATAGATGTCTCAAGCTCCTCACATCTGGAGCAGACCTCATTATCTTCTCCCTCTCTTCCTAACTTCTTTATTTCTGTCCAGGATACCATTATCTTTCCAGGCACGCCTGGGACAACCTCTAAGTTTTCCTTGCTCCTTCTGTCTCTCTTACTCCGCCCTGCATCCAACCAAATGTCTAGTGTGGTCAAGTATTTCTCCCCCACATCTCTCCCATCTGTCTCCTTTTCACTCACACAGCCAACGCTCTAGTTCCTGGATCTGATCTTCATCACTTATCATTCAACTCATCACAATCCTTTTCCTGCTTCCTGTATCTCCCCTCTGTAATCTATCCTCAACACATTTCTCAAAAAGAAGTGTCTGAAGGCACGTCTGACCATGATGTCACTTCCACATGACTCCCTGTTGCCTTTAGGATAAAATATAGTCTTTTCATCCGGCATTGAGATCTGCCTGTAGCCTGCCCTTCCCAATTTATTTCCCATTTCTCCCCTGTTCCCACTCCACATTACAGCCATGTTGGGCCCCCTCACTGCTCTCCAAACCAGGCACTCTATGTCTTCTTTGCCATCTCCTCACCCCATATCTTCACACTGGCTCCCCCTGGCTCTGCCTCAGCGGTGCCTCTTAGAATCCCTAGGTCCCTGCAAACTCAGCTTAGAGGCTATTCCTTCCATGAAGCCTTCATTTATCCCTTTGTTTGTTAATGGGTTGTACTTCCTTAGACTATCTTGGACTTATTTGTTTATCTTTCACTATAATGCAATAATAATAATAATAATAATAATAGCTAACATTTTCCTAGCACTTTACCCATATTTTTTCATTTGGCCCTCACAACAACCCTATGGGGTAGATACTATTATTATTATTATTATTATTATTATTACAATATTATTATATTATTATTATTTAATAGATGAGGAAATTGAGACGTGAAGTGACTTGCCCAAGGTGACTTGTGCAGCTATTGAGCACCTCAGACAGAATTTGAACTCAGTCTTCCTGTCTCCAAGTTCAACATGTTCTCCCTTACGCCATCCAGCTTTCTCTAGGTAAGTTCTTTGAGGCCATGGACTATATTTTGGGTTTGGTTTTTTGTGTTTTTTTTTTGTCTTCATATCCTCAGTACTTAACAAAAAACCTTGAACATAGTAAGGCCTTACTATAGACTTCTTTGAAAAATAAACCGGGGGGGGCAGCTAGGTGGCGCTAGTGGATAGAGCACCGGCCCTAGATTCAGGAGGACCTGAGTTCAAATCCAACCTCAGACACATAACATGTACTAGCAGTGTGACCCTGGGCAAGTCACTTATCCGCATTGCCTAAATAAAAAAAAAAGAGAAGAAAAGAGAAGAAAAATAAACCTGGGTTTATAGAGGAACAAGAAAGGAGGAGGTTGGGGTGCACTGAGCACAGAGAGGGGACTGTGTCAAACATCTGTCTGGATTGAAGTTGTTTGTTTGAGCCTGCCTACCCACTATCTCCATTTTCTGAAGTCTTTCGTGTTCTGTACCCTTTGGTTGGGACCTTGATGGCCTGTCTCCACTGCCTCCTTGCTGCAACACCAGAAAGGAGACTGCTATCAGATGCACCTGGGTGGTAATCTCCCCCTCCCCCCTTGTTGAGGGGCTGAGCTACTCCATTGTGCAGACGTTGGGAGCCCATCCCTACCTCACCCAGATAGGATGAGTGATGGAGAACCAGGTATGCTAAGTCTAAGGGCAGACTCCACAGGACCAGCATTGGGGCGATTTGGAATCTGCATACTTAGGTTCAAATGCTTACTCGACAACTTGTTTTCTGTGCGGTGTTGGATGAGGAATTTCCCCTCCGTGGGCCTTTATGAAATGAGGGAGGTGAGACTCAATGGTGTCTGAGGTCTCTTCCAGCTCTGAGACTCTGAGCCCATGTTCTGTCCTTGTGTGCTCACCCTCTGGCTTAAAAAACCATCAAACCCAAGGTTCTGGCTTCCTCGCTAGTGTTCTTGATTGGCCTTATTCCCGGCCCGGCTGTCTCGTGTTAGGCCCCGGGCCTTCCTTGTGGGTGTTAAAACATGCTGTAATAGATGGCTGCTGCTTTGTGCCTGTCTGGCCTGCCTGACCTCTTTTGTGACAACCTCTTTTAAGTCCCCCAACTGCAATGGCAGCTGGAGACAGGAAGGCTGTGAAAGAATGAGCTGCATTGGCATTACAAAGTCTTGGAGGCAAGCACGGAGGCTGGTGAATAGGCCTTGTGATGAACGAGCCTTGTGAGCCCCTGCAAAGCCTTCAGATCACAGAATGTCAGCACTGGAAGGAAGCCACTGGGAGGAAGAGGAAAAAGCCCTAGCTCTGAATTAGGAGACATGATTCAGATCCCAGCTCTTCTCTTTAACAAGATGTGGGAAGTGACTCGACCTCTCTGGGCTTCAGCCTTGCTCCTCTATAAAAAAGGGGAGGGCTATTAGATGGTTCCCAAAATCCTTTCTGGCTCTAAAGCTTGCGATCTTTCAAGACCACCCCACCCTTATTAGCTGGGGAAATCCGGAGAAGGGTCATGGCTTACCCCAGGTCACCAACTTGCAATCTTTGTCAGGGAAACTGTGACGAGAACCCACAGCTTTTGTCTCCTGCTCTTTTCATTGGACCCTGCTATCTTTTTTAGGAAGAGCCATGCAGGGTCTGGTAAACTTTTCCCGCAGGTTAATTTTTTCAAGGACAGTCTTCTCTTCTCCCGGCCAAATGCCCCCCCATATCTCCAATTGTTCTCCATATGGCACAGTCTTTGGCCTCCCTCACCAACCTGGCTACCCTCTAGACATTTTCCAACTTGGCCATATCCTTCCTAAAGTCTGGCCCCCAGCCCTGAACATAATACTTCAGGTAGGTTCTGACCAGGGCAGAGGACAGAAAGACTGTCACCGCCTCTACCCTATATAGATCCTCTTCCTCGCCTTCCTCAGCCTAGATTTTTGCCCTATTAAGCATTCATTGTGAACCCAGGAATCATCATCTACATTTGTCTCAAATAAATTTCATCTTATTCAGTTTGTCCTACTGAGATTTTTTTGGGGGAGGAGGGATCCTTATTTTTCACTTGGACACAGGAATATTCCTCCCGGCTTTGGGTGACCATCTCTCAAATAAACACGGTTATGATGGGAACCTTCATATTCAGGAGAAACTCTGTAAAGACTTAACCTAGCAGAACAAAAGGGGGGGACAGGGGGTTTATTTGAACCAAGTTACAGTTCAACACTGGCAGCAAGCAAACCAAACCACATAAAGTGAGCTGCACACCCACCTCCCAGAAGCATCGAGCCGATGAGTTCCTGTGTGGTTAGCATGCAATTGCCTGGCTAACAGGCGGTACTCCCAAGGAGGTGGGACGGGTGCACACATGTGTTTGGAGGAGGGTGGGGTAAGTCTGGGCCCCACCATACTCATCAGTAGGGGTGCAGACTCACTAGCTAGCTTTCAGTTCATGCTCAGCTCAAGGAGAAAGCAAGGTGGCATGGAGTCCTGAAATACAGGGCATTGTAACAGTGGCCGCCATCCTCTTTCTCTGTGCAAAGGTGGACTACGGGAACCAAGCCTGGAAGTAGAGTCAGCCTCAGCTGCCCAGAAAAGGTATGTCATCACAGATACATTAGCAAGCTGTGTCATTATTATTTCACTGGGCTATACTTACCTTGCTCTGCTTAGACTCAGAGAACAGGACCTAGAACAGTGAGTGAAAGTTACAGGAAGGCAATTTGAGGTTTGGTGTCAGTGGAAACCTTCCTAAAAATTAGGATTGTCCAAAACCAGAATGTGCTGTCTCGGGAGGTAGTGAGCTTCCTGTCCTTCCAGGTCTGCAAGCCAAGGGTGCATGACTATTTGGCGGGGGACAATCGAGATTTCTCTGGGGAGATGGATCACAGTAGAGTGCTGCAGTGGTCCCTTCTAACTCTGAAATTTGGTGGTCCTTGGATTGGATCCTCTGATGGCATTCAATAACTTTACAGCTTGCATGCCTTCCTTGCAAGTCACGACTCATTAAAACGAACCCCAAAGGGCGGTTTAAATTCTTCTGTCTTACCAAACCACGGTTACACCCATTATCCCTTCAGCTTGGCAGGTCAGTGGGCTTTGCAGAGAGTTATGTTTACTGGCATGATGTTCATTGGAATGTGATCGCTAAGGAAGGTCTCCTCGAAGAAGGTTTAGTTGTCCAAAATGAACTCTGAGAAAGGTTCCTTATGAGTGAGATCATGGAACAGGGAGTCCCGGGAATTGGAGCCGCAGATTCTGGGTTTTAGTTGTGTTTGTCTTGGACCAGTGACTTCACCTCTGTTTTCTCATCTATAAAATGGGAGAAATGAGAATTCTACCACCTATCCCACAGGATTACTGTAGGGTGCAAATGAGATAGCGTCTGTAAAATGCATCACAAATAAAATGTCATTTCAATGCCAGGTATTATTATCTAGTGGGATCTGCATCCATACTCCAAAGTGCCATTTGAGTCTCTGTGCTAAAACTTACCCCAGGTTTCTAGGCATGTCTGATAGCCTGATAGCACCCTCATTTTGCTGTCTCTGTGTGCCTCAGTACAAAGGCTACAACTCTGGCTTTCAAGTCAGGACACCCAGCTTCCACCAGTCCCCTCTCTCATGCTTACTCCTTGCATGACCCTGGGTAAGTCATTTCATTTCACTGGGCCTGTTAAATGAAGTAGATTAGACGGCCTCCAAAGTCCCCTCTAGCTCTAGAGTTACGACCCTATGTAGCGGGTAAGTCACTTTCCCTCGTTCTAGGTCTCAGTTTCCCCACTTGTAAAATGAGGAAGTTGAGCTAGATGTCTTCTCAAATTCTCCATCTAGGAGCCTCTGACTTGAGGGGAACATGGAAAGCTCATTCCTGTCCCCCTCACCCCCACCCCGGCAGAATTTAATCCAACAGTGGGAAGGAGGAGGATCTTTGCATCCCCTGGGCTTGCTTTAGAACAGGTGCTTCATAAGTGCTTGTTGGCCTGGATTAAATGGAATCGAAGTACTTGGGGAAATCGTCAGACATAGGAGAGATTCGATCGACGTTCGATTTCTTCTGCTTGGTCCCATAAAGCAGGGGAGTGAGGAGGAAGTTACAAAAAGGTCAGTCTAGGCTGGAAGGCAGGAAAGATTCCCTGACAAATGGAGCTGTCCAAATGGGGAGCCGCTGCCTTCGGAAGTTGGCGTTAGAAGGCTTGAAGCCCCAAACCAGTGGCCGCTTGTCAGATGCGAGCCCGCTTGTGCTGTTGAAGAGGCTCCCAACGCTGAAATTCAGCCAGTCTGTGATCTAGGTCTGGGTCCCGGCTCTGCTGCTACTATCTGTGCGACCAAGTCACACAAGTCCCTTTATCTCTTAATTTCCTCACCTACAAAACAGCGGAGTTGGACCAGATGACCTCCAACGTTCTTCCTGGCTCCGGATCTGTCAATACCGTTGCCGCCGCGTCGTGGTCTCCAATACCACCTTTGTTTAGAATTCCAGCGCTCGTTTCATCAGTGTCGTATGTCTCCCCCACCCCCACCCAGCAGAAAGTCAGCTCCCTAAAGTCAGAGCTGTTTTCCTGTGTGTTGTTGTTGTTGTCTCTGTATCCCCCATGCCTAGCACAGCACCTTGCAGATAACAAGCACTTAATAAATAAATAAAAAATGCTTGTTGAGCTGGATTCACGAGGATCCCAGTTTTTACTCCTTGCCTCTAGGTGAGGGGGTTAGACAAGGAGATCTCAAAGATTCTTTCCATCTCCGGTAGCTACGCCTGAAACATTTCAGCTGAAATCAAATAATGCTCATGTTCAGGAAACCCTAAGAGCAAGATTAACATCCCAGATCCCACCTTAGGATCAGAGGACCCTAGCAGCTTGAGAGCTGGCAGGGACCTCAGAGGCCCATCATCTCCAACCCATTCCTTTTACTACTGAGGAAAGCTGAGGCCCAGGAAGGTGGAGGAACTTACCCAAGGTGACCCAGGAAACAAAGGTCCTCTCCTCCCCTTGCCATTTACATTTTCTATGTGTCAATGTGCAACCCTGTGCTAAAGTTACTCCATTTCTCTAGGCCAGCCTAGCTTGGGAAAACAAGTTGAGGAAATGAGCATTCTTCATCCTCCTTGCTCCTTCTCTTCCTGATAACTGGCTTTAAATAAATATCCTGAAGATGTCGTTGACTTTTTTTTTTAATTCTGCTTGCACACTTGACATTAAGTCCTTTATGACCAGATCATGCAAGTAAATGTGTGTGAAGGAATGTGCACACATAAAGTAAAATCAGAAGATGATATCAGCACAGTATAATGGAAAGCAACCTGTACTTAGAGACTAAAGTTGTGGGTTCAAATGCTTTCTCTGCCATTTATGGGTGTGACCTTAGCTGAATCACTTAACCTCATGAGACCCAGTGTCTTCATCTTTCAATCTTTAAATGGAGGGATGTTCGATGAGATGGCCTCTGTGGTTTCTTCCTGCTGTAGATCTGTGATACTATAGTTATCAGTTAATTAATTTCTCTAAGCCTTAGTTTCCCCATCTGTAAAATGATTAGGAAATCGAGATGGCCTCTGAGGTGATTTCTAGCTCTAAATCTATGATGATAAGTTCCATTTTCAGCCTACCCATGTGGAAGACCAAGGAGAATTTAAGCAAGCTGTGTCAAAAGGCCCTAAAAGTTACTGTCAGGCCTCTACTGTTTGGGTTCAAATATCCTTCCTGTGTGATGCAGCCCCTCTGGGCCTGGGTTTTGTCCTCCGTTGGAGGAGAGGGTTGCACCTTCCAGCCTTAGGTCCATAATGCTGTCTTCCACACCATTGTCACTGTCACCCCATACTACTTACTGGCTATGTGACCTCAGGCAAGTTGCTTAACTTCTCTATGCCTCAGTTTCCTCCTCTGTAAAACAAAGGGGTAGGCCTCTAAGGCTCCTCCCAGCTTAGATCTACAGTCCTGTCCTCAAATGAACTGAAAGGATATGGATTCTCTGGAGGCAGAGGGCTAGATCATGACATGTGCTCACGGCCCCCCCAGGACAGCAACCCTTAGACTCAGTGAAGTCTTTTAACCCTTTACACTTTTAAGTTCCTCACACGCCACTCCTGGTTCTCTGGTTAGCATCTGCCTCAGCGACCATAAAAGGGCAAGGAAGCAAGTACATTTCACGGAAGTACATCTCCACTTTAAATAACCCCAATAGACATCCAGTCAAACTCTTTTTATCAAGAAAGGAAGGGAATAAGTACCTGCTATGTGCCAGGCACTATGCTAAGCTATTATTCCCATTTCACAGTTGAGGAAATGAAGTCAAGTGACTTGCCCAGGTCACACATTAGTATCTGAGGCCAGATTTGAACTCTGGTCTTCCTATTCCAGGCCTGGAGCTCTATCCCCTGAACCACCAGGTATCTCTAAGGAAAACTGAGATCCAGAGAGGCTACATAACTTACCCAAAGTCAGAAAGGGAGCAAGCATCAGAGGTAGATTGTGAACCCAGGTCCTGCCTATGGAACCATAGATTTCCCAAATGTATACATGAGATGGGGAGACTCCCCTTCACATTAAAAAAATCAATCAGTCAATTAACAAGCATTTGTCAAAAACCTTCTGTGTGTCAAGTGCTAGGATCTGGAGGTTCAAAGACAAAAATGGAATGTGCTCTGCCTGCAAGAAGCTTATGTTCACCTGGCAGGAGAGAGGAGAGGAAGAAACAAGCTAGCATGTACCTAGATAAGTAAGCACAAATTCATTCAACAGCGTTTATGCTAGGCACTGTGCTAAGAAGTAAGACTACAAAGACAAAAAAGAGAGAGTCCCTACCCTCAGGGAGCCTACCAGGAAGACAACTTGCACTTGGGCACTTACCTAAGTATGTAAAAAAAATATGGAAAGTGTGGTGTCCTGGAAAGAGGATGAAACTTGGCTTGGGGAGACGGAGGTCATATCCCAATGCCAACGTCTCCTGGCTGTGTGAGTTCCTTAACCTTTCTGAGCTTCAGCCTATAAAGGGAGATGGTGATGCTTGTTTACAGGGTTGCTGGGGGTAGAGAAAGTTTTAACTGCTGCAGATAGGGGAGCCATGATGAGCGTGCTGGGGCAGGGGAAGGGGAGGAAATGAATAACTCTTGACATAACACTTGCTAGTGTCACACCTGGGCAGCTGCGTGGCGCAGTGGATAGAGCCCCAGGCCTGGAGTCAGGAAGACTCATTTCATGACTTCAAATCCGGCCTCAGATACTGTTGCGTGACCCTGGGCAGGTCACTTCACCCTGTTTGCCTCAGTTTCCTCATCTGTAAAATGAGCTGGAGAAGGAAAAGGCAAACGACTCTAGTATCTCTGCCAAGAAAACCCCACATGGGGTCGCGAAGAGTCGACATGACTGAAAAATGACTGAACGAGTACCAGACACAGTACTAAGAGCTGTACAAACATTGTCTCATTTATACCCAAATTACTGTTGTTGGACTGGGTTCTTAGCAGCCCCCAGGACAGAAAGTGGACAGGTGAGGTGGGAAAGGCTCTGGTGAGAATAACCTGTTTTTTTCTTTGCTTGTGGGTGACAACCTGTAAATTTATCAACGAAGGAAGCTTCCCTTTGATGAAACTCTCTCCACCAATACAGATCAACAACCTGGTTGAGGCTTAAAGAGAGGATGAGGGCTACTGGCTACTGAACTAGCTTCAGTCAGGATGAGCGGAGTTCAAATCCTACCTCTGAACCACACTGCCCCAGGGACCCCAGGCACTCAGTCCTTCAGGGTGGCCCAGGCAATCTCTCAGGCTGCATTGTATTTATTCTCCCCAGGTTTGATATGTCTCCATCCTCCCCCAAACCACAATAATCCAATGCATCTGTGACTTCATAGATGAGGGTCTTCCTTCCAGCAGGAAACTCAGCATGTTACTCTGGATAAAGCCTTAAGGTTGGAAGCAGAGGGTGTAGGGTTCTAATGCTAGCTCTACTCCTTACTACTGTGTGACCTCAGGCAAGTCATTTCCCTCTTCTGTAAAATGTGGCTGCTGATGGTGCTTCTAGCTCTAGAGCTATGAACTAGATAGTGTCTTTCTGCAAGTCATTCCACTGTTCTAAGCCTTAGTTTCCTCATCTGTAAAATGAGGATGTTGGATATTTGACGGCCTCTGAGGGCCCTTTCCAGGACCAGATCTAGAGCCTGATCCCACCAGGCCACCCCATTTGGGAGTTTTCTCAGTTTGCCATAGGCAGGCCATCCATCATTCACACTGCGTGAAAACAAAAGGAGCTGGTGACCACCCACCCATCATCCATCTTTTACTGCATCTCCCCAACAAGAGGACCCAGGAGTTCTATCTGCTTTAAAATGTTGTCAGCCAAGAGAAAGGAGGCGGCAGATGGGCCCTGGACCTCTGCTGCTAAGACAATAACCTTTTGAATATCATCAACACTTTCGGTCTTAATGAAAATCCTTTTCTCTGCCTTAATTACTCCGAGTCTACTTGGCTGATATATTGGGAGAATAAATGAGTTTACCCATGTGAAGCAAAGCATCCCAGCACAAAAATTCATCACGAGGCTGCAACGTCGTGTCCTTGTTAATTCATTCATTCACTCGTTTTCTCTGCCACGCAACGATGGTTTATTCCCAGACTCGCCAAAATTCACCCACTTTCCAGCCTCTGGCATCTCTTTGCTTCCCTGACCTTCAGAAGAGCTGAATGGGATCCAATCTCCCTCTTTATTCCCAGAGAACATAACCTGCTCAGGGAAGCATCATTGCCATTGGGAAGTAGAATTCATCCTGACCGGCAGCAGGTCCCGAGCTAGGGGATAAACACATTATAAACACGTGGAACCCTTCATCCCCAGGTAGGGTAGCTCAGTGGAAAGAAAGACCTGGGATCCGCCGACTAGATTTCCAGACTAGTGACCCTCTCAGTACCTCGAGGCAACTCTCCAAGACTAGAAATGGCGCTGCAAGCACCAATCTGCTTTGGTGGAGGGAATTTACTCACCAGGAATTCCCATGAAAGTGCCAATGAAAGCCCAAGTTTAGCCAACACATACACACTGATTGATTGATAAATGATAGCTTGATCAATAGATAGATGGTAGAAAGATGTGTGAGTGTATCACTTACTTGCAGATATAGAGGACCGTAGAGGTCATACAGTACAATCTCATATACCACTAAGATAACTGAGGCTCAAGACAGTGACTTGCCTAAGGCCACATAGGTATTATGGCAGAACTGGGATTTGAACCCAGGTCCTCTGTCTCTAAGCCAGCAGCCCAGCTACTGCAGATCAGTGATATCTCCCTCCCGGGGTTGGGAGAGCTCCTTAAATCTTCAGGCTTGGCCTCTAAAAAAGCCTCCCCCTGGGATTTCTCTCATAGAAGGCTCCTCTTCAGATCAGCATCTTGTGCTGGCCCCAGCTCAGAAGCCTCTGTTGAAGGATCGGAAGCATTAGGACAGGGGTCTCATAAGTGTCCGCCCTGTCCAAAACACGGGCCCCCCAAACCAAAAATGAAGCACATCCCCAAAGGCCTGGCTTCGCTTTCTCTTTGCACAGCTCTTGAAAGCAAGAATGTTTTCCTCTGTTCACAGTGCATTATTCTGCAAGCTTGCAGGAATCACCATC